AGGGCTCCAGGAAGCCTCTGCTGCCCCCACAGCCAGTGACGTGACCATGAACCCCAAGCACATCTCCCACCAGACCTGAGCTCATGCGTCTCCAACTCAGCTGCCCCTTGGTCAGATCCCAACGTGCCACAGGCCTGCGGTGCCACCACAGTGAGAGGGGCACGATGGAGGAATGCTGAGCCGAGGGTCCGCGGGTCACGAGCACTGGTGGCTAAAAACTCCTACTTCTGCAAATTTTACAAAACTACGTAACTGTGTGAACGCATCAATGGCCCCAAAGCTCGATCTGCCTCGTCACTGCGGTGCATTCACCCTGCTTGGAAGAACACGGAGTCCACAGGGGCTCCACAGACTGCGGGGCCTGCTGCCATTGGAGACCCCATCCCATGCTCCCTGAAGAGCTGAAGGACGCGGTCTCTTCCTCCGCACCCCACGCCGCCATCGCCCAGAGCAAGCAGGCTCTTCTGGAGGAAGGAGCGACTCTATCTGGAATTCTCTGTCTTCCAAGAGGGAGCTTGGGCGGGTGATCCAGGCCCAGAGAGGATCCAGACTCGGGCTCCACTTCACCAAGAAGAGTCCGTTTCCAGGGCGAACGTGCCTGGTTAGAGGTCGGACCGTGGACTGGGGGGTCTGCACTGCACCACGGCGAGGAGGGGGCGAGCCTGCCCCGCCCCACCCCACCCGGGGTGCCCAGCTGCCCCTCTGAACCGCTGGGAGTGGGCTCTGTCACCCCCATGTCGCTGCCTGGCAAGGACAGCAGCGGCCCACAGCCCCTGCTTCTGCAGCAGAACCCAGGGCAGGTGGGAAGGGAGCGGGCGCTGGGGGCGGGTGGAGCCCAGGCCGAGGCCACGCCAGGGTCAGGCTGCCGGCTACTCGCCCGCTACTTGGGTGTCCAGAGGAAATCTGGAAGGCGGGATTGTTTTTTGGCCCCTGACAAGTGTAAGAGGAAGGTATCTGGGGGCTTTGTCGTGTGCCCCTCCCCACGCCCACCCCTGGGAGGCCGCAGAACCCTCCCCTGGCCCTGGGTGAAAGTGCATCTGCTCATGACGCAGGCCCCAAGCCAGCCCTTCTCAGGAACCATCCCCGTCCCCTGCCAGCTAGAATCCATGTTCCTGGAAAACAGCTGTTTTGCTAAAGAGACCTTTGCTGCTAACTTATGCAAACGGAAACGCTGGTTTCTCTGGCTTTTCCTGAAGCCCTGGGACCTGTCCCTCTCTGGACAGGAGGGCCACGCTGTCTCGGCTGCCACCTCCTCCACTCCAGCTTCGCTGTCACCTCTCCGGGTGTGGGTGCACTTGGGGAGGGGCCGCTGCCTGGGGGCCTAGAGACCAAGCCGAGGCCCCGGGCCTCAGAGCAGCCCGCCTGAGCCCCCAGGGAAGGCAGGCTGCAGGAAGCCTCTGCCTACCCGACGACCCACAGTCGGTCTCCCCACAGCGCCACCCGGTGGCGGATGGACATCGGCACACCTCCCCACGTCTGCCCATGAGGCCCGGAGGACGTGTGTCCTCTCAGGGTCAGCCTGGGTCCCCAGTGCCTCGCCTGGTCCTGGCTTTGATGCGGCCCTCGCTGATGCTCACAGTTAGGTGAGGGCTGGCCTGGCCTCTACAGTCCCTGGGACCCCAGTGTGTGGCCAGGTGACCAGCAGGGATGCCGGACACGAGGCTCTGCCTGCCCCATGAGAACTGTTCAGAGACTCCCAGCCTCAGTCTCCAGACACAAGGGGATGTAGCGCATACCTCACCCTGGGGTGTCCCCCTGTGTGAAGGGCCAGGCGGGCATGTCACGGGCTTCGCGGCACGTGGTCTTGTTGCAGCTGCCACAAGGGTGCTGAGGCCAGGGCTCTTCTGCTCATATGCAGGGCCCACATCCCCAGCTCTGTCTTGAGCACCCCACCCCCCTAAGAGACCTCTGTAGTGACAAAGGCACAGACCACAGCCACCGGACCCAGGCCCTGGGCCAGGCGCCAACATGCCACCGTCAGGGGGCCAGCCTGTGAATGGAGTGCCACAGGAGCAGAGACAAAGGCACTATCATCCTGTCTGCAAATGGGAACCTGAGGCTGAGTGCTCCTCGACGCCTCCATATCTGCTTGTGGGACAGGGCCGTGGACGTCAGTGGCAGGAGGGACCTCCCTCGACCCCCAGTCTCCAGGGATGTCCACCCACAGTATGTCCAAGCTGTCTTCTTGTAGGCAGCTGAGGGATGGAGGTAGCGAGGGGAAGTCACAGCAGGGTGCTAGGGTGCAGGCAACCGACGCTTGGCTTTCAAAGACTCCACCTCAGAGCAGTCTCAGCATGTGGGTGCGTGTGCCTGCGTGTGCGCCTGTGTGCACCATGCATGTGCGGGCATGTGCATCTGTGTGTATAATGCATGTGGGTGCATGTGCGTGCACTGTGCATATGCATCTGTGTATATGCATGTGGGTGTGTGTGCATGCAACACGCATATGTGTGTGCATGTGTGTATAATGCATGTGGGTGCATATGTGTGCAACATGTGTGTGGGTGTGTGCATGTGTATAATGCATGTGTGTGTGTGTGTGCACACTGTGCATGTGCTGGTGTGTGCATGTGTGTATAATGCATGTGGGTGCGTGTGCATGCACCGTGCATGTGCACCTGTGTGTATAATGCATGTGGGTTCATGTGTATGTGTGCATGTGTGCAGGTCCCAGCTCTGGCCCTGCTCCATGTCTGTACCACCAGCCGTGATCCCCCACCCTGGTGGGCACCTCCCCTGNTGTGAATGGAGTGCCACAGGAGCAGAGACAAAGGCACTATCATCCTGTCTGCAAATGGGAATCTGAGGCTGAGTGCTCCTCGACGCCTCCATGTCTGCTTGTGGGACAGGGACGTGGACGTCAGTGGCAGGAGAGACCTCCCTCGACCCCCACTCTCCAGGGATGTCCACCCACAGCATGTTCAAGCTGTCTTCTTGTAGGCAGCTGAGGGATGGAGGCAGCGAGGGGAAGTTACAGCAGGGTGCTAGGGTGCAGGCAACCGACCCTTGGCCTTCAAAGACTCCACCTCAGAGCAGTCTCAGCATGTGGGTGCGTGTGCCTGCGTGTGCGCCTGTGTGCACCATGCATGTGCGGGCATGTGCATCTGTGTGTATAATGCATGTGGGTGCATGTACATGCACTGTGCATATGCATCTGTGTATATGCATGTGTGTGTGCATGCAACACGCATGTGTGTGTGCATGTGTGTATAATGCATGTGGGTGCATATGTGTGCAACATGTGTGTGGGTGTGTGCATGTGTATAATGCATGTGTGTGTGTGTGCGGACCGTGCATGTGCTGGTGTGTGCATGTGTGTATGATGCGTGTGGGTGCGTGTGCATGCACCGTGCATGTGCACCTGTGTGTATAATGCATGTGGGTTCATGTGCGTGTGTGCATGTGTGCAGGTCCCAGCTCTGGCCCTGCTCCATGTCTGTACCACCAGCCGTGATCCCCCACCCTGGTGGGCACCTCCCCTGACAGTTGTAGGGCCAGGTTCTTGTTCTCAAAGTTTCTCTAAAGGAAGGAGGTGGGCAGGGACCTGTGACCAGGCCAGGCCCATTCCATTCTGTACTGAAGGGAGCCAGCCTTTGGGGAGCGCAAGGGCTGTCGGGCCCCAACCAGCTCTGAATGCCCACCCCACTCCACAGCCCTAAAGTGCACCCAGAACCGTGGCCAGTCTTCCCCTCCACGTCGTGCTGTCCATGGCAGTGCTAGGACCCAGCACTGTGCTGGGATGAAGCCTTCAGTGGTCAGTCACATGCCCTGAGTTAGTTTACTGTGAGTGTCCCTTCAGCTCAGCTGCAGCCACCCACCTGCCTGCCCAGGCAGGCTGTCCCTGCCCAAACTCTAGGCTTTGGTCTTTATTACACGAGCCCAGGGCGTGCACACGAGGTCGCCTTTCACAGAAAGGAGAAGCTACCTGGCGAGGAGTCTGGGGTCATGTGGACCAAGTGGGGTCATCACAACACAGCAGACAGCAGAGGGACAGGGGATCTGGGGTCAAGGTCAGTGTGTCAAAGTCATGGCATCACAGTGACCAACTTAGTGTGGATACCAAAGGTGATGTGCAGCTTAGGAATGACAGCAGCTGTGCTCTGTGGGGTCCAATACAGGGGAAGGAGCCCGAGGGGTCCACAGGGAAGTGAAACTCCATCTGTGCCCTTAGTGGGGCTGAGGCACCAAGTCCCACCTGCCCCAGAGCAGCCCTTCTGGAGCCTCCTGGAAGGAAAGTGGGCCACTGGTCAGCAGGCAGCTGAGTGACAGAACCAGCCTCCTGTCCATCTGTCATCACAGCCATCCCCTCGCAGCTGGGCTGCAGCAGTGATAGCTTGGAGAAGGCCACCTGTCAGTAGGGCTGGTGGCACTGCGAGGTGGGAGGTTGCCTGCCCCAGAAGACCCGGGGGCTGTGGGTCTTCTGAAGCCCCCAGCTTGGAAGGGAAGGCGCAGCCACTGACCCCTGCCAGCGGTGCAGTGTTTGTGTGGGTGGGTGGTGGGCAGGGGTCTCCCGGTGGGGCCTGGGCCCATACTCAAGAAGGGCCTCTGTCCAATGGGCCCAGCACTTGCGAGCAGGATTCGCACGGTGACCAGGAGTCCTCCAGCTCCGGTGCGGGGAGTCCCAGGAGCTCTCGGCTTGGTCTGGGCTCACCTGTAACGCCTGCTGTCCCAGACTGGAGGCTTCCTCAGGGGCCGCCACCACCACTGACCTGTGACTTCCCAGAAAACCGGTAGCCAGACTTTGACTTTTGGCCCCTGGAGGCCTCAGTGGGAGAAGCTCCAGGCAGACCATGGCTGGCACAGGGAGCATGGGACCTGCCCGTCACCTCCCAGGGTGACGACAGCAGAGCTGGTGCCACACCTCTTACAGAAGACAGAGAGAGCCGACTGAGGAGGCAGGGAATGTCCAGTGGGCAGGAAGGGGTGAAGCCCTGGCCATGTGCAGTGGTGCGGGAGGGGCTGAGCCACCTCCAGGGCTGGCGGGGCTATGTGGGCGGTGTCTACACCACAAATTCCTGTGGCAGTGGCTCCTCCCCAAGCAAGTCCAGGGAGAAGCAGTTCATGGGCCTCTTGCTGTGGAGGGTGGCCCTGGTCTCGCAGGGGGTGGCCAGCCCTCCCTCTGGGGCGCAGCCAAAGGTGCAGCTGTGTGAGGCAGGTGCAGGGCATGGGGCCGGCCAGCACAGACGCATGTCGTCCAGGCTGCAGCTGTGCCGTTGCTCACTGCTGCCGGCTTTCACATCCCCGACCTGCAGGGACAGACCATGGGCTGTGGCTTTCTCCCCTCTGGGGCTGCAGACTCCATCCATGCTGGTCTAGCTACAGAGCTGCACCTGCCTGCCAACGTCCACCTGACCTGGACGGCTTCTTTGCACATGCTCGGTCTCGGCCTAAAGGGCCGTCCCACCAGGGATGCTCACTTGGTCCCATAAGCCAGGCTGCCTCCTCCCTTGCCTCCCCCGGCCTCCTGGCACACAACAGCACTGCAAGCCACCTGCCTCAGTTTCCTTATAATATCACTGACCCTCAACATGTCCTCATGGTTCCCTCGGGGGGCTGTGAGCTCTGTAGAGCAGGGGCTCAGGCGCTCTGTTCCGATGCACTTCGGGAGCCCTGGGGCCCCTGTCCCCCGCAGTGAGCCCTGAGGGGGCCTCTGGCCCTGGCCCCCGGGGCACTGGCCGCCTGCAGCTTCTCTCCCCAGCTATGATCTTCCTTCTAACTCACTGGGCCATTTGCTCACTGTTTGCTGCGCTTTGGGAACAGGCTCTAGGTGGGGTCCTCGCACATAGCTCCAGAGCCATCTGGGACAGCAAGAGCTGCCCTCACTCCACATCGGAGGAGACTGTGTTCAGAGGGGACTGTCCCAGATCCCGTCCAGATGGGCACGTCCACCACCTGGAGGTGATGCCTCACACGGGATTTCTCTGCCGCGACAGCCCCGCCATCCTCCCTGAGGACCCCCATGTAGCGCAGAGGCAGATGCATGGCAGCAGCTCTGATCTGCCTTCCACATGCTTCTCCTGTTTCCGATCAACACTATTTTCAAGAGCAGACAGTCTCTGGCCACAAGCCCCAGCTGCTTCGGGAAGGCACCATCTCCTCTGCTAAATGGGCTGCCCTGGATTTGGGCTGGCCTGGCCCTGCTGTCATAGCCCCACTTGGGACATGCAGCCTCTTCTCCCCTCCTCCCTGCGTCTAGCTCCGACCCCCTCTGAGTTCAGCCTCATGCTTCCTGCTCAGCCACAGCCCGGTTTTCTCTTTCTTTCTGGAAGATTCATCATGGGGCTCACTGGAGCAGAGGCCCCACCCTCCTGGGGCCAGGGCCCCCATCAGATCAGAGCCAGGATGGGAACCCCAAGCCCACCCATGGGTTCCAGGACATGAAGCACAGCCCATAGAGCCTTGTACCTACGGGGCCCCCCACTGGATGGTGGAGCTGGATGGAGGGGAGGAGGGTGGCCAGTCTGTGTGCACGGCCACACACAGTACCACATGTAGAGCCACAGGCAGGGCCACATGCAGGCTGCACGATGCTTCCACATGGGTCTCTCAGGCTGGGCTGTGAGCTCCATGGAGCAGGGGGTCAGGTGCTTTGCACACACAGGCCCACATGCAGAGCACACACAGGTCCACACACAGAACACGGGTCCACATGAAAAGCACACACAGGTCCACATGCAGAGCACACACAGGCCCACATGCAGAGCACACACAGGTCCACACACAGAACACGGGTCCACATGCAAAGCACACACAGGTCCACATGCAAAGCACACACAGGTCCACATGCAGAGCACATGGGCCCACACGCAGAGCACACATGGGTCCACAAGCAGAGCACACACGGGTCCACACACAGAGCACATGGGCCCACATACAGAGCAGACACGGGTCCACACGCAGAACACGGGTCCACACGCCAAGCACACTCAGGTCCACACGCAGAGCACACACAGGTCCACATGCAGAGCACACAGGTCCACACACAGAGCACATGGGTCCACACGCAGAGCACACACACAGAGGTCCACACGCAGAGCACATGGGTCCACACACAGAGCACAGATGGGTCCACACGCAGAGCACACAGAGGCCCACACGCAGAGCACACACAGGTCCACACGCAGAGCACACACAGGTCCACACGCAGAGCACATGGGTCCACACACAGAGCACAGATGGGTCCACATGCAGAGCACAGATGGGTCCACATGCAGAGCACACACACAGGTCCATGGGCAGAGCACATGGGTCCACACACAGAGGACACACAGGTCCACACGCAGAGCACACACGGGTCCACACGCAGAGCACACACGGGTCCACACACAGAGCACATGGGTCCACACGCAGAGCACACATGGGTCCACACACAGAGCACACACGGGTCCACACGCAGAGCACACACGGGTCCACACGCAGAGCACACACAGGTCCACACGCAGAGCACACACGTGTCCACACGCAGAGCACATGGGTCCACACGCAGAGCACACACGGGTCCACACGCAGAGCACATGGGCCCACACGCAGAGCACATGGGTCCACACGCAGAGCACATGGGTCCACACGCAGAGCACACACAGGCCCACACGCAGAGCACACACAGGTCCACATGCAGAGCACATGGGTCCACACGCAGAGCACAGATGGGTCCACAGGCAGAGCACACACACAGGTCCACGGGCAGAGCACATGGGTCCACACACAGAGGACACACAGGTCCACACGCAGAGCACATGGGTCCACACGCAGAGCACACACGGGTCCACACACAGAGCACATACAGGCCCACATGCAGAGCAGACAGAGCACATGCAGATCCACATGCAGAATACACACAGGTCCACATGTAGAGCACATGCACGGCACATGCTGGCCACACACAGACCCACACACAGGCTACACCCAGGTTCACACAACCCGGGACCAGGAGGACCCACACTCCCCACTGCATGGAGCCAGCACTCACTCGGGAACTGAGGCCGAGGCTGTGAAAAGCCCCGAGCTGCCTTGTTCCCCAAGAGCCTCGCCCTCCCCACCTGCCTGGCATCTCCAGGGCTCTCTGTTGAGGGCCCTTGGGTGGGCCTAGGACGGCGGGCCTGGGAGATGGGAGGAGTGGGGCCCGGGCCCTACCTGGTGTGGGGCCTCAGCGCTCCAGCCTCTGGTCTTGAGCAGCGTGACTCGCACCACTGTGAAGGGCTCCTGGCCGGCAGCTATGGGGAGGGGGCGTGAGCAGGGTCCCAGGCTTCTGGGTCCCGTCTAACAGGTGGTATCTCCTCCTTGCCAGGGTGGGATCCCACCATGAGCCCTGGACACTTCCCTGTGGGGCCGGTGGGACCCGGGGCCCTCAGTGAGGCCGGGCCTGGGGCTGGGGTAGAGGCTGGGCTCAGAGGAAAGGTGGGCAGAGGGCCAGGGCTGCTGCCTGTCCCCACGGCACACTCTGCCCTCGTGCCTTGACACTGTAGCTGCTTTGGTTGACAAAATTCTGGTGTCTGATAAAACGGGCTGTCACCAAGCAAATGTGGTGTTCTGTTACTATCCCCCTGGACTGTGAGCCACAGAGTGTGGACAAAGCCTCAGAGATGAAGGCCACCGGTCCTTTACCAGGTGTCCCGGCATTCAAAATTTAATGGTGGACACACTGGTGAGTGACAGAAACTACCTGACCCTGGGTGAGGCGGGGTAGTCATCACTTAGTGATGCTGGTGACCTTAGGTGACTCTGGGTGATATTGATTGATCCTGGGTGGCCATCAGGCCCTGAGGCCAGTCCTCAGATGACTCCATCACATCCACTGTCAAGGATGTGGGGTTGCTCAGTGGCCAGGCCAGTCCACCGTGGGACGAACTGCAGAGGAAGCTAAAGGACCTCAGCCATTCACACCCCAGGACACCCCACTCCTGTCCCTGACCCTGGCCATGTGGCCACCCTGTGCTGGGTGGGATGCCGATGGCAGGTGGCAGGCAGCTCCATCCTCCAGTCTCGGCCTCTTCTGGCATGTTCTGGCACACTTCCTGTGACTCATGACCTCATGTAGCCTGGTCTCTCTCAGGGGACCAACACTTGGGGGGAAAGTTGGGGCTGGTGGGGCCGCAGACTCACCCTCCGGCCGGGCCTGAGTGTCAGCCTGGGGCTGGCCTGCGCTGCTGCCGCCATGGCTGCTGCTGCCATGGCTGCTGGACGATGTGTTCCCGAGGAGCCCCTCAGCCCCCGTGGACTCGTCCACTGACATCTCCCCAGACTCCGGCTGGGAGTCGACCTCCATGCCGGACGTGTGGGAGCTGCTGTGGCTGCTGGTGGAGCAGAGCGAGAGGCGGTGGCGGGGGCACCGGCTGCCGTCCCTGCTGCCTGGGCAGCCCCTGTCGACCGGGTCCAGGTCCAGCTCCAGCGTGTCGCTGACGTACGACTCCCGGTAGTGCTTCTTCTCTGTGCAGGAGGGAAGCACGCATGAGAGCCAGGCAGAGACGGCTCCAGGACACAGTGGGGACAGCCAGGGACAGGTGCGCGAGCTCCTGTCAGGTGAAGATGAGGCAGAACGAGAGGCTGGGCAGGGCGGGATGCTGAGGCTGGACCCTTCCATAACGTGCGTTTTTGCTCTTTCTGGGGCAAACCATGTGAGGAGTGGGAAACCGAGGCCTGGGATTCTAGAACAACGCAGAAGGTCACGGCAGCCCTCAAGCTGTCCTCCTCCCCTGGCCCCATCTACAGAATCCTGCTCCAAGCACAGCTGGGGAAGGTGGGTCACCACTACCCCCTTGACCGGAACATCTTGGGGGACACGGGAGCCACTGGTCACCGCCCATGACAGGAGAAAGAGAAGGTGCAGCCCAGCCGCTGCATCTGAGCGTCTGGCCTGACCCGGGTGGGCGCGCCCACCTTCCACTGCCTCCAGCTGCTGCAGCTGTCGCAGCGCGGGCTGCAGGCCGAGGTGCAGCTGGTGGCTGCTGCGGAGCAGCTGCAGCAGGTGCCGGGAGCGCCAGGCGCAGCCCGTGTAGTAGACCAGCTTCAGCACCGACGGCAGCCCGTCCGGCTGGATCTCCAGCTTCTTGCCCTGAACAAACGGGGGGACACGCAACTTTACAAACTGAAAACCATCGCCCTGGTGACGGGAAAAAATGGAACGTCAGCATAACCCCAGCCGGGAAGTGGCCGAGGGTGTCGTTCCACAAATTTGATGTCTGTATGCAAACGGGTTCTGTGGCCGCTGCACCCAGGGTGCTCCACTCTGTCCTTGGGGATGAGAAGGTACCTGAGCATACAGAGGAGTTCTCCTATGCTAGAATCTTCCCTGCCCACAGCTGCCTAAGGGGGTGTGGAGAGCCAGGGTGGGACGTGACATCATCAGTCTTGCTGCATCCCCTGCATCCCAGCCATGGGTGGCCCAGGGAGCCAGCTCTGGGGCCGGGACAAGAGGGACAGAGGCTGCAACAGGTGCGTGTCTGTGATTTGTCCTCTCTCCCTTTCTTTTCTCCACTCAGGAGCCAGAAGACCTCTTTCGATAAGAACAGCCTCAGGACCTCAGCATGGCCCCGTAATGCTGGACGCCAGCAGAGCCCAGCCAGGCACAGCCCTGAGGACAGGTAGGAGGCGCAGGGTTTGTGTGCTGAGTGGCAGCAGCAGGGGACCGTGAACCTTGTGGGGATGCAGAGCCAGGGAAGCACCCTGAGGACAGACACAGTGCCCAGGCTCTCCAGGGCTCTAGCAGCATTGAGAATCCCCCAACAGACACCCACCAGAAACACCAGCTTCCTGATGTGGGGCCAGGGGAAGTCGTACAGCAGCTGCCGAGAGTGGCTCACCTCCTGCAAAACAGGAGATATGGGCATGTCCAGGACGGAGCAGGAGACAGGCTCAGGCAACCTTAATTCCAGATTTTCTTCTGATACCGTGATATCACCCATCCTGATCAGCCCCCATAGCACAAGGTCTGCCTTCCACACAAGCACACATCCCTCCCGCTCCAGACCCTTCCACACACCCACACCCCTCAATCTCTAGAACCTTCCACACAACCACACACACCACTTTTTGAAGCCAACGGCCTGAGACCTGCACCTACTTAGGGGATTCCTGGAAGACCCAGGCCCTGCTCACGTGTCCTATCGCTCTGGTCTCCGAGTGGATCGGGGTCCTCAGGCAGCCCCGAGGGAGCTCTTTCTTTACCTACAGCTCTAAGGAGACACTGAAGCATGGAGCCCCCAGGCCTGCAGCTCACCCATCACCGTCTTGGGAACCTCTGCGGCCCAGAGGCCGGCAATGGGGGCAGCAAAGAGCAGGAAAAGCCCAGCAGGAAGCACAGCCCGACTTAAAACAGGATCTGCAAAGCCCACACCCAGGTAGAAGTACCCGCCCTGGAGAACAAAACACCTGTGCTTGAAGAGCTCTTACCTTCACAGCATAATTTTTATGTGTTTCAATCACGAATAAACTATTGTGCGTGCCCCCCACAAAGCCAACAGCAAATATAATGTGCGTTGTTTTTTCAGAATAAACTCAAATCTAAGTGTTTGGCCTTCCCGTGACTTGTATGTCACCTGGCGGATTTCCACGATCCCAGGGAGTGCCCTTGAAAGCCAGTCACGGTTACCTGACGAGCCTTCCGTTCTCCACGTAGAACTGCACTCTCAGGAAGACCACGAAGGGCGCCCTGGGTTTCTCATTTCCCTGTGGAGGAAGGGAAAGGGAGCGGGAAAGGCCGCATGAGAGTGTCTGCGTGGAGCCGAGGGCTGGGCGGATTTCACGGTGAAGCCGCCCCTGGAATTTTTCCATACCCGGCTGTGAGCTTAAGCTGTGCCAATTCATTAAAGAAAAAACACGAGTGGAGTGTTGTCTACGGCATTCAAGAGCATTGGCACAGATGGGCGTGGGAGCCCGCTAACCTGCCACCATCAGTCAACTCACAGGACGGTCATGCCAGGGGACCGTGGGGACAGCAAGCATGTCTACCAGGTGCTTACCTCCGTCGGCAGGGGGGGCCCCTCCAGGAGCAGGTGACCACGGCAGCCACAAGGAAAGGTCCCGGTGCCAGTGCCCTTGGGAAGCCTGTCGCAGGGGTGCAGCAGCAGGTCCCCTGTGGTGACCCACCCTCTCTCCCATCTGCCCTTCACACTTACTTTACGTATTTCTCTCTTCCAGTCCTTTGAAAAGTATTTGCTGAGTTTTTGCTCCAAATCCATAAATATATACTCATTGTCTAAAAAGAAAAAAAAAGAACTTCACAGAGCAGTCCCATCATTCCCTGGCATCACAGATTGTTGAAAACCAACTCGGCTTCAGGTGAGCCTGTGCGCAGCAGAAGCGACACCCGCCAATGCAGCTCGTGGCCCTTCTCAGGCTGCCGGTCAGAGGAAGCATCTCCAACGTCCACGTGTCAAATACGGCTCATCTACTAGACTGGTCTCCCCAAGCATAGGGAGGGATGTCACCGGCTGATACTTAAACGGGCGCATGCTGCAGGCACACCTTCAGGGACGCAACGGGACAGTGCGTGTCCACACCATCTCACCCTGCAACCCCAGCACCCTCTCCCGGCTGTGGGATAAGTCACTTAAAAGTAGCCATGTCTACAAGCCGGTATGAAGTTGGCCAACTTAAAGTGAACGACCCAAGATTTACCTGGTTACCTGGTTACCTGGGAGGGCATGGCAGGAGAGCCTGCTTTCTAAAATTAGTAATTTCTCTACTTTTGGAATGTTGCCACCATGTGTTTCCTATAAAAGCTGGAAAGAAATTAAACACCTATCCTAGAGAGTAATAAGCCCAGGGAGAGCCCTCTGCTACTGTCAAAGCTCAGTGCCTAGAACGGAGGTGAAGCACAGCCCCTCGAATAAACTCGAGTGAAAGGACGACCCCGGGGAGCCCAGGAGCAGTTGCTGGTGGGAGTTGTCAGAGCCCAGTCGGCTGAGCTTGACCGCAGAGAGCTGTGTCAACAAGGCCAGTGTGGCAGGTTTATTCTTGACACTTTTACCCTAGTCTGTGGACACCAACCACCCCCAATTCCAGCTGCTACCTTACAGACACCTGGCTGTGACAGGCGGAGCTGGGGAACCAGCAGACCAGCCCGAAACATCTATCCTGGGCTCCCCAGGAGGCGAGGGTCCTGCAGGCCTGGGTGGTGAGAGACAGGGCCCCCTCAGAAGGTGGCTGCACAGGGGCAGGTGGTCATCCCGGTTTGTGCTCTGCCTGCCTCCCTCGCGCCTGAGCCCAGCAGGCCTGACAGGCGCCGGGAGTTCCCTGTGTCCCCAGCCTCATCAGAGGCTCCCGTGCTGTTCCTGTCAGGACTGAATTTTGTCCTCCCGCCCCAATTCATATGTTGAAGTCCTAGCCCCAGGACCTCAGTGACTGACAGTACCTGGAGACAATCAAGTTAAAATGAGGTCACTAGGGTGGGCCCTCATATGACTGGCATCCTTACAAAGCGTGGAAATTCGACATGGAGAGNGCAGCAGGGGACCGTGAACCTTGTGGGGATGCAGAGCCAGGGAAGCACCCTGAGGACAGACACAGTGCCCAGGCTCTCCAGGGCTCTAGCAGCATTGAGAATCCCCCAACAGACACCCACCAGAAACACCAGCTTCCTGATATGGGGCCAGGGGAAGTCGTACAGCAGCTGCCGAGAGTGGCTCACCTCCTGCAAAACAGGAGATATGGGCATGTCCAGGAGGGGCTGGCAGCGCCGTGATGGAAGGAGGGGCAGTGAGGCCCAACCCTTGTGGGGAGGGGGAGGGGAGGAGGGGAAGAGGGAGAGGAGGGGTGGGGGAGGAAGAGAGGGGGAGGGGAGAGGGAGGGTCTCCGCGAGGCTGGCCAGCCTGGCCAGTCACCTGATAGATGTGCATTCCTTGGAGCGTCAGTCCCAGGACAATGGTCGGGTGATCTTCCTTTTTATCCTAAACGCACACAGGTCAGAGAGGTCAAGGTCGTGGACCTGGGGAGGGCCCAGCCTCATGGGCAGGTGGGGCGTGGTCAGTCCGGCCAGGGGCTATGGGCCCTCCAGGAACCAGCTGACTGTGGCCCCAGGCTGGCTCCCAGGACCCCTGTCAATGCCAGAGGCTGCTCACTGCCACCTGCCCCCAGCACCTTCTGTCTTTCAATTCACCTAACATACTCGAGCTCCTTAAACCTCAATGGATCAAACGTCAGTCCCCAAATTCTTCCTGTGCAGGGCTGTCCCCTAAGAAATAAATGCCGTGCTGCGTGTGGACATTGGCAGGAAAATAGTGGAGGCCAAGTCTGTTCACAGACAGTCTCCTTCGTTCCAGTATTAGACCAAAAACTCATTTATCACAGCAAAAGCTGGGCGGGCTTTGGCTTCCCAGGACAGTCCACAAAGGTTTCATGTCACCCAAACCCACCGGAGGACCAGCAGTCCCACCTCCATGAACAAGCACGACTTAAACCTCCATCACACCAAGCCCAGCCATGTCCTGAAGACCCACTGTCACCCCGTCCTGGGGTCCTGGTCACACTGTCAGCCGTGGGGGCTCCGTGTGTCCCTGTGCTGGGGTCGGGCCCTGTCCCCTGCCCCCGGCCACCTTGTACAGCCTGAAGAAGTGGACGGGCACGTCCTCCAGCTGGCAGGCCTCCCTGATGAAGCGCAGCTCGGCCTCCTTGGGGCTCAGGCCACGCTGCTCGCGGTGCAGGGCGGGCAAGTGGCTGAGGATGTAGTCGGTCCCCCTCTTAGCAATGATCTGTGGATGGACGGAGGGGACGTCTAGATGCCTCCACCCGGGTGGTGATTCTGCCCCCAACACGCCACGGCTCTTCAGAACCTGCCCCTGGGGACGGGCCGGACCACGAGCTGGGCATGGGGGAGGCCCAGAGGGACAGGGTGCCAGGAGGGCAGCGGCTGTGCGGGAAGCCCCGGGGCAGCTCAGAGCCCGGGAGGGCACCGTTCCGGGTCACACAGGAGGAAACAGAGACGCGGCGCCGGCGGGGCGAGGACCCCACAGGC